CTATTCTATCTATTCTATCTATTCTATCTATTCTATCTATTTATTTATTTTATGCCCCACCAATCTGGTCATTGCGACCACTCTAGGCGGCTCAACCACTCAAACTAAGCGTTTGAAGCTGCTGAAGTCTCTGGTTAAAGCTTATGCAAAGGAGAAAACTGCAGCCTTCATAAGTCATTGGTGGCTATGCATGAATCTATAAGGTCTAGCAAAATGTGTTGTGAATTAGATAGTTTGGTGGTTCTTTTCCTTAGAATGGATAGCAGCAGCTATGGCATCTGACTTCTGTGGGGCTTGCATCTCTGCAGTTAAACTCTATCTAACCCACTGGTTCCAAACTTAGAGGCACTGTCTAACAACATTGAAAAGGCACATAGTAAACCAATACCTTGCTCTGTCTGAAGCTTGACAACCACCCCCCCCCCCATAGCTTCGCGNNNNATGTTTAGGAAAAGAAAGAAAGAAGTAATTACAGCTCAGGCTGTTTTAGGCAAGAATGTAATGTCACTCCAGTTCATTACTGCACAAACTAGTTCGAATTTTGTTTTTTAAAAATGAAAGGTCTTAGCAATGAAAAGTCTACATGCAGGCAGTGTAGACTATGTGATCCCTTAGTTGCTGAAAAACTATTGAACTTATCTCTGGGTAGAGAAATAGTTATTTTTCTGGAAGATGGTATCTTTATCATTTCTTCCTTATCTTCTCATTGCATTCATTTATCAACCACAGTAGCAAGCGGTGAATGATCATAGCCATATTTTTAGTTAGTGTTGGTCTTCTGATATATGGAGAAGTAAAGGAAGATTTGTTTAATGTGATACGGGTCAAGTCGTCAACACATTCTTCACCAAACACGTCCCATAGTGCTGCATTGAAAAGCAAGGAGGGGTGAAATAGGTGTGGGCATTTTATATTGCTCTTATAAGCAAGAGCAGCAGATGAGAAATGAACCAAGGTGGGTTGTATTCCTTTGTTCTGTATGTGTATAACACACACACTATACACACACACACACACACACACACACACACACACACATACATACATACAGTGGTGCCTCGCTAGACAATGATAATCCATTCCACTGAAATCACTGTTTAGCGAAATCATTGTCTAGTGAAAAGCATTTCCCCATTGGAATGCATTGAAACCTGTTTAATGCGTTCCAATGGGGAAGAATCGTCGTTGTCTAGTGAAGATCGGCCATAGGAAAGCCACTTTGCAAACCGCCGATCAGCTGTTTAAATCGTTGTCTTGCGAAGCTTAGGTCCCAAAAACACCTGGTTTGGAGCTGTCAAGATCATTGTCTAGCGAAAATCGGTTTGCGAAGCAGGGACCAAATATTGTCCAGCAAAATTCGCCCATAGGAATCACTGTTCTGCGAATCATTATAGTGATCGCAAAAAGTCAATGTCTAGTGAAAAAACTGTCATGCAGGGTAACTGTCTAGCGAGGCACCACTGTATATTGCAAGCTACAGCTCTTTTCTGGAGGTTCTCAAGCCTCATCAGCAGCTTGGCATGGAGGTGGGGGGGGCAATTGCTCAGAGAAAATTGAGTGCCTGGACTTGTGTAAGAAGTGTTTTCTGCTAGACCGAAGCCACCACTAGATTACCAATGAATGAGAAATGTATTTGTTTTTCATTTCTTTGAGGACTTACGAAACTTACATTTCCTGAATTTGAACCTGAACTGGAACACAGACATTGAAACCTTTACTTTCCTAAATAGGTTTACTGTGTTGGTTTTTTTTTTTTTTGGGGTGGGGGGAGAATACAGATGTGTGTTATTAAAAAAAACAGATTTAAAAAAGGTAACATTTTGTGCAAAAAGTGTGTACAAAATCATTTCACTCAGTGGAAAGATTACATGCCGCAAATGTGTGTGTTTTAAGTAGTGTGCATAAAAATTCGTATTGGAACAATTAGAACCTGAGCAAAACTGAGTTTGACTCTTTGCCTCTCTTTGGATACAATCTGTTATTCTTAAAGAGACTAGTTTTGTTTTTTAAATATCTGATACAGAACTCTTATTTCCTCACGAGGTTCTCTTTGCTGCATACGAATACAGGTGTATGAAGCTCTTTCCGTTTACTCAGTGTGCAAAGTCCCAGTGTTTATGCAGAGTGACTCCATTGTAATACATATAAAATAAATGTCAGAATCCTGTTGGTCTTTGGGTAAGGTCTGTATAAATTACACAGCTAATTGTGGCTAATTGATGAAGGACTTGATCATCTGCATCAGTTGCCTAGTCACATGTCTGAGTATGCAACTACAATACATCCTTGCACATTTTGAATTGGCCGCAGTTAACTGAGGTAAGTTACCCAAATCTCACATGCACACCAATAGAATTCTGGCCAAATACTATCATGTAGTATATTGCAAACAATATTAAGATAGAAATGCAGAGAATCTGGTTACGTGTGGCTAGGAACATCTGTGTTGTCAGTCTGTTTAAAATAAGGTTCTTCATGACTGCCTTGGCAGCTGTCAAGAATGGTCAAGCACAAAGCAAGACTCACAACCAGCAAAGAGGGAGCATAAGTGTGGGTGCTTCCAGACAAAGAGCTTATCAAACAAGTACTGTAGTCAAAAAGCATTGCACAACTATTTCGTTTTCCCTTTCTACTTTTTTTCTTGGTAAGAAAAAAAGTAAAAAAAAAAAAACCTGCTAGGAGGATTACAAAAGAGTGAGTCCCCCTTCCCACTTCCTCAGAAGTCCTTTGTACTAGTGCAGGAGACTGAAGTATTGAGTGGCTAAAACTTAAAAGCAGACAGGTTTCCTGCAGGATTCTGTACAAAGTATGAGAAGCTGTCCTGGCAGCATTAGTTTGATATTGCAAATAATGCAAAACTGTCTACAAAATATAGGATTAAGATTTATCTTTGAATAGTATTTTTTTTTCACCCTCATGGATGATTTGAAGAAAGAAAGATGTGCTTTTCTGCTCAGTGTAAGAATGCAATAAAGAATATTCTGACTGCGTATTGTCTGCTTTTAGGAAATGTTTTAAATCTCGTCATGTTTTCCTTAACCTTGAAGTGTAATGAAGTGTTTCAGTGTTCTCTGTGAAGCATATTACGCACTTTCAGAGAAGTGATGTGATTTTCCCACATGCTTTTCTCCTAGAAACACGAAGATGCAGACTGCCCATGTGTCATGGTTACATGTCCTCATAACTGCAGCATTTCAGCCCTCCTGAGAAAAGAGGTAAGGGACGCGTTGCAAAACCATTCATTTAAAAAAAA